TATACAAATGCAAACCTTATTAGGCTGTTCCCTTGCTTAAAATCCTTTGATGGCTTTCTGTTGCTTTTAGGATAAAATGGGGTCACCTTGTTAACGTATCCTATCTGACCCTCTTGAAAGAAGGCAAGATCTGTTTGGATTTATTTTCTTGTTTCTGCTGACAAACTTTTTGTGTTACGGTTTTAGAATGAAGCGCGTAAATTAAATCACCAGGAAGTTGTGGAAGAAGATAAAAGACTTAAGTTACCTGCAAACTGGGAAGCCAAAAAAGCTCGTTTGGAATGGGAACTGCAGGAAGAAGAAAAGAAAAAGGTTAGGAACTACTGTGCTATCTTAAGTGATTATTCAGTAATTCTATTGTATTAGATAGTACAACATAGTAGTTAAGGACACTGGCTCTGGAGCCAAACTGCCAGATCTTACTGGCTGCAGCACTTAGGCCAGTTATTTAAACTCTCTGTACCTCTCTTTTCTCATCTATAAAACAGGGACTATAATAACAATTTGAATTAATTATGAATTAAAGGAGTTAATACATGTAAAGCATTTAAAACAGGATCCGACACCTGATAAACATAAGTATATGCTTGCTTTTTTTTTTGAGACAGGTCTCACTCTGGTCCAGGTTGGATTGCAGTGGTGCAATCATAGCTCACTGCAGCCTTGAACTCCTGGGCTCAAGTGATCCTCCTGCCCTAGCCTCCTGAGTAGCTGGGACTACAGGTGTGCGCCACCACACCTGGCTAATTTTTCTGTTTTTTGTAGAGATGGGGTCTTGCTGTGTTGCTCAGGCTAGTTTCAAACTCCTGGCATCAAGTGATCTTCCCACCTGGGCCTCACAGAGTGCTGGGATTACAGGCGTGAGCCACCACACCCAGCCCATATGCTTACTTCTGGTATACCATAGCAGATTCTCAAATTTCCTTCAGATAATAATCATTTTTTAAATATTGCTTGATGACTTTATTGGATCTTTCCTTTTTTTTATTCTCCCATTGGATCTTTCTTGATTTAAAATAAATAATTTCTCATAT